ATTAAATTAAATTTCCTAATATATATATATAACATGACATTTTACTTGTAACATTACCCCAAAAAATTAAAAATAAAAAATATTCAAAACCTCTTAATATTTAAAATTTTAGTACCTCCAATCATTGTCATAACATCTACCTCTGGTAATTCAACTACCACTCTCCAACCCTTATTCCTCCAAACCCCCCAAATATGCCACCTTAGCATGCCTGCTCTAAGCCAAAGCATGGAGAATTGTCATTAACTTGCAACCTATAACATTGACCGAAGTAATATCAGTCTCCCTTCCTATCCCCTGAGTATTTCTCCCACGCCACCCTCTTCCAAAGTTCCTCTTTCTCCTCCCACGACCTATACCACCATTTACTTAATTATGCACCATTTTTCTTCATTAAATCTGCCACCCCTAACCCACCTAACTTCTTACTACGACAAATGTCATCCCAGCAAACCCACTAAATTTTCCTATTATTTGAAAGCCATGTATATCACATAATTAATATATATTAATTTATTTAATATTATATTATTTTATAAAAAACATTTACAGGTAATTATGTACTAGAAAAGTAAAGAGCAATCTATCTTAACTAATTTGAACTTCTCGTAACTATTAATAGAGGTGGGCAAGCTCTCTAACATACATTATAAGTTCACCTTTTTATCAATAATTAAAAATAATATAATCTATATAAAATGTATTACACCATAGCATTCTCATTAATTACATGTAGCATTACTATTTTCATAAAATAAATAATGAAAAATATTTCCTAAAAAAATGAAAAATAACTTTCTTTCTTGTTTCATCATAAATTCGAGATGCATGTTATGTAACTGAATTTAATTACGTCTTTCAATTGAATAATGCAACTGCAGCCGAAGGCCCATCTTGCCGACAGAAGGCCGAGCTGACTTGGCATTGATTCCTTCGTTTACGTGTATGAGAAAGGACGTAATTAGTTCTTAACCCCTTAACTTTATAGGATCGTAACTTTTAAGTTTTTATACTCAAAAAACAACATTTAAATCTTTAAAATAAAAATGATTATTATAATTGAGGGCATTAGGATTTAGATTTTTTAAATTTAGTGATTGAAATATTAGGATTCAATATTTAATGTATTTGGCTTTAGATTATATTTTTAGGCTTTACAATTTTGGATATTCGGATTTAAATTTTTTAGTATTTAGTGTTTAGAGTGTTAGTTTAAATTTTTTTAAAATTCAATATTTAAGGTATTAGAGTTTAAATTTTAAAATTCAATATTTTAGGGTATTAGGGTTTAAATTTTTATTTTTCTAGATTAAATGTTTAGGATGTTAATGTTTAGATTTTTTTTACAATTGAGTTTTTATAGTGTGATGGTTTAGATTTTTAAGGTTTAATTTATTATTTAGGGTATTAGGTTTAAATTTTTAGAATTTAGTATCTTAAGTGTTAAGTTTTATTCTAATTTTAAGATTTAATATATTTAGAAATTTTTATTTTTATTTTTTATTTTTGGCCAATAGAGAATAATATAAATAACTTAGTTCATTACAGTCATTCTGGGAAACACATTCCCGATAGTATCAGAATACAAAATACAGCCAATATCAGTGGGGCATTGATTAAATACAGCAAAAGGAAGAACTGAATTGGCGCCTTTCTCAGCTAAGCTATCCGCAATGGCATTAGCCTCCTTGAAAATAAGCGTGAAATACACAGATACAATCATCAATCAATGACTTGGCAATCTTAGAATCAATTCCAAGAATAATTTTGTTAAAACCCTTGCTAAGAGCAATGGATAGCCCATCCCGAATTGCCCACAACTCAGCCGCAGGACTAGAAGTATGACTAAAATGCCTGGTGAAGCCCAGCAACCATCTGCCAGGCTCATCACTAAATACACCGCGTGCACTGGCTCAACCCGGATTATTTAGAAATTATTATTCAAGGACTATAATTTCAATTAAAAATCAATTGGCACTACAAAATAAAAAATAAAAACTACAAAAAATTTTTAAAAGATAAAATTTTTCTGTGATTTCAAAGAAAAATGAAAAAGTCATTGGACCTCGCTTCTCAGCACCCATCTTACATTATCTCCCAGACTCCAATAAGTCATAATTCAAGTTATAAGAAAAATTATGCCTAAAAATGTAGGGGTGATGCGGAGGAATGGGCCAAAAATTGCCTAAAATTTAAATTCACAATCCATAGCTATAGCAATCGTACCAATCGCATCCTCTAGACACAATAATTGCCTCGAGATTATCATAGCTATTACCCTTTTTAATGTACAGTGACGCAGCATGAAGCAAACTCAACAAACCTAAACATGTTAGGCTCAAAAAAAATTCAACAAGAGACAAACTCTTCGAAAAGAGAAATCCAATAAATCTCAGAAAATAATGTCCCCGGCTATAGGCTTACAAAGGTCTTAAATAGTTTAGGGCAATCCCCAAATTAAGAAGGAAAATCTAAACTGTAACTCCAATTTTTTTTTTTGATCGGCAAAGAAGTATTATTAAAAATAGAGTACAAGGGGTACTCCAAACCCATTACAAGAGGAGTGTAAAAAAACAAAATCCATGCAACAACACTCCAAAGCCTTATAAAAAACCTCCCCAGCAAAACAGCACAATGAACCTACAGCACAATCACTTCACACGTTGATCCTTTTGTCATCTTACATGCCTGAGCCGAGGATGTTAGCCACCAATCCTTCGATAAGTTCGCCCATAAATTTGTTTTCAGCCACAGAAAAGAATGATACTTGATTAATTCAACAATGTAATCGCCTGTGGCATTATTTCCCATGAAAACGTATTGATTTTGCCATTTCCACAGGTTCCAAATGGTAGAAAACCATACCACCATCCAAGCTTGCATCAGTCTCCCTTCTGAGATTAATCCTGTATGTTGTTGTAGATGTTCCCATCCTTTGTTTTGTTGAACCACGTAAAGACCCCACCAACTATAACATGAGGACCACACTGACCAAGCTTTCGAACAAGTAAAAAGGAGATGATTTGTGCTTTCTTGTTGCATACCGCATAAAGGGCAGGATAAATCGTCCTCCACATTTCTCAATCCCCTCTTAGCAAGATTATCTTTAGTTGGAATTCTGTTTTGTGTAGCTTTCCATGCAAAGCCAGAGACCTTTAGTGGTACCATTTTGTTCCAAATCATCTTGTAGTTGATGCTGCGACCTGGGAATAGCCTAGATTGTAGCATCCTATAAGCAGATTTCATCGTGTATTTGCCCTTAGAGTCCATATTCCACATCCAGTAGTCTGCTCCACCTTGTCTAGGTTGTCTCCTTTGTAATAAGTCCATGAGTTCTTGTAGAAGATCACATTCCCAAGCAAAAAGATTTCTTCTCCAACTCCATCTCCATATCCATTCACCATCACTCCATTCCCCTTTCTTCGAAACAACAATTTCTTTATCAGTCGAAAGCGAAAACAGTCTATTAAACCTATCTTTTAGAGAGAACTCCCCCACCCATTTATCATACCAAAATAGTGTATCATTTCCCTTCCCAACAACCCTCACCACATTCTCCCTAAACCACCCCTCTCTTTCAGTTCCATTTGAATCTAATTAGAGCAAAGTCTACCCCAATTACCTCCCATCCACTCATTTGTCCTATTCACCTTATATTTTGCCTCAAGTACTCTCCTTCATAGGGCATCCTTCTCTTCTAACAACCTCCATCTCCATTTACCTAACAAAGCCTTATTAAAAGTTTCTAAGTTTTTAACCCCTTAACCTCCCATCTCCTTACTTACACAAACCTTATTCCATCGAACCCAAGCAATCTTATTTTTATCCTCACTACCTCCCCATAAAAATCTTCTTTGGATAAGAGATAAGAGATTGGTTACCTTTTTGGGTGCCTTAAGTGTTGAGAAGAAGTAAACCGGGATGCTCGAAAGCACAGCATTCAGGAGAATAATACGCCCTCCAAAGGACAACGAGTCACTGCGCCAAGAAGACAATTTCCTCCTTAAGCAGTCAATAACAGGAGACCAAGTATCCAGCCTCTTTGGATTTGCACCGACAGGGATCCCTAGATATTTGAACAGGATATTGCCAACCAAACAATTTAGCATATCAGCCATGCTATTTAAATTAACACTTTGTACATGAAGACCAGATAAGGAGCTTTTGAAAAAATTCACCTTCAACCCAGAAAGTAATTCAAAGCTTCTAAAAATGCCCTTTACAACCTGAACATTACTTGAACTTGCCTCACAAAAAATAATGGTGTCGTCTACGAATTGAAGGTGGGAAATTTCTAGCTCCCCTAAGCCCACAACCACCCATACTAGCATCCTCTCCTTCACTGCCTTCATTATCAAACCATGGAGAGCTTCAGCAACTACAAGAAATAAAAATGGAGCAAGTGGATCACCTTGTCTCAATCCTTTTGACATACAAAATTCTTCTGTAGGGCTCCCATTTACTAAGACTGAGGAAGATGCAGAAGCTAAGCATTCCTGAATCCATGATTGCCATTTTGTGCAAAAGCCTAGCTTATCCAACATACAATCTAAAAATTTCCAGTTAACACTGTCATAAGCTTTTTCAAAATCAACTTTGAAGATTAAAGTAGGCCTCTTCCTTCGTTTAACCTCATGGATTAACTCATTTGTGATGATAATGCCATCCACAATTTGCCTTTTTCCAACAAAAGCTGATTGGTTGGGGCTAATAATTGAGTCCATCACTTTTCTCATTCTGTTGGCCAAGAGCTTGGACACAATTTTGTACATGCATCCGATGAGGGAGATCGGGCGATAATTTGTTAAGCTTGTTGGATTTTCCTTTTTGGGGATCAATACGATGAACGAGGCATTGCTACCTTTCACAAATCTCCCTTTAGAGTGGAATTCCGAGATAAATTCATAAATATCATTCTTGAGAATTGGCCACATTCTCTTAATGAAGTTGAAATTAAGACCATCAAGTCTAGGGCTCTTATTTCCATTACAACTCCATACAACGTCTTTGATTTCTTCTTCAAAGAATGCAGCAACAAGCATGGATTTTTCCTCTTCACTGAGTCTTTTAAAGTCATTTCATTCAAGCCTTGGTCTGACCCACTGTTCTTCCTCAAATTTGTTATTGAAGAATTCTTTTATAAACTTTTTCACCATAATAGCATCTTCTATCCAAAGCCCATTAATAGTCATGCCATCAATTCCATTTTGTTTCCTTCTTTTAATCACACATCCATGGAAATATTTGCTATTCGCATCACCTTCCTTGAGCCATTTTTGTCTTGATTTCTGATGAAGTAAACAGTCTCTATCCTTGTTCCATTCCCATAACCTATGAAAGCATTCGTTCCTTAGCCCTATCTCTGTTTTTGTGAGCCCATTTGTCTCCCCTCTCTTGTCTAACTTGTAGATTTCTTCTATGGCAGACTCAATATTCTTCTCAATGTTTCCATATATTTCACTATTCCATCTTTTCAGGTCTCCTTTAAGATTCTTAATTTTCTCCTTCAGTCTGAAGCTGCTCCATCCCTGAACATCATAGCTACTCCATTTTTCTTTAACAAAAGGCTCAAAATCCTCATGGTTTAGCCAACTATCTAAGCACCTAAATGGCTTTGGCCCCCAGTCAATACATGATTGTTTCAGCAATATAGGGCAATGATCAGATATGTTTCTTTTGAGCCCTTTTTGGGTTATGTCTGGAAAGTTAATCAAAAACTCTCTAGATAGCAGGAACCTCTCCAGTCGGCTCATTGTTGATCCATCCGCTTTATACCAAGTGAATTTTCGACCAGTCAAAGGGATGTCTTCAAGACTAGATTCTGAAATAAATTTGTTGAATTCCTTTGCCTCTATTGCGTCGTAACTTCAACCTTTTCTTTCTTCAATATTTCTGATAGCATTGAAATCCCCAGCTATGCACCAGCATCCACCACCTTGATCTTTGATTAGAGTCAATAACTCCCCCCATGGAACACGCTTGCCTTGTTTATCACATGGAGAATATACATTTATGAAAAAACAAGGGATTTTCTCCCTCCCTCAGAATCCTAGCATTCCACAAAACCCACTACCTTCAATTTTTTTGATCAATTGAAATACATTAGAGTTCCATATGCAAATAATTCCTCCAGACCTTCCTTGGGCTGGTTTAATCACGCAATCAAAGTTATTAGAACCCCAAATTAACTTGCAAATTCTAGAATCACATACCTCCAATTTAGACTCCTGGATGAGCACCATATCAGCCTTTTCTTTCTTAATTAAATCTCTCAAGCTCCTTCTCTTATCACTTCGACCCAGTCCGTGAACATTCAATGAAATGATCTTCATGGATGAACAGTTTCCTGTCCCTCTTCAGTTGGCCTTACCATTTTCCGCTTGACCACAACTGCTCTATCCCTTTTCTCCATTTCGCCTAGTGTTCTAATAATTTCTTCCGAATTCCTTTCATTTACCAATCCCAACTGCTGTCCGATAACCCACAATTCCTCTGCTTTTGCTCTCCAATTATATTTTCTTCCGACATCTAAGGCTGATTTGAGATCTTCAACATTTTCCAATTGCATGTCTGTCCTTGGGAATGAAGTATCCACACAAGTGCCTCTTCTATTATTCTGGCCCTTGGTTATTCTAATTTTGTTTTTCCTTACTTTCCTTCCTTTCTTCACTCGTTTTCGAGTAATCCTTACCACCCTCGATTGCAAAATTTCATCTTTGCTTGCCAAACCTTCCCAAAAAGGTTGGGTAGTTTGGTCTTCTTCCAGTAGTTCTTTGGATTGCATCATGGAATCCCTTTCCTTCGAATGCCCTTGAATTTCTTCACCATCCACACATTGTTTGATTGCAGCACCCTCCCTTTCGAAGTTCTCAGATCTTCGGTTTTGTTTAAAAGGCCGCTCATCCATTTGTTGAGTTGGGTCTCCTTGTTTTTCCATAGGCCCATTGACATCTTCAAGGCCCACCTTAATAGATGGATTGAAACTCGGTGGATACATTAAGCTTTTGGACCCTGTTCCAGATTTCAAATTTGAATTTAAAGTTGACATTGAGTGGTTAGCTCCCAACCCTTTATGACCCGTCTCTTCATCCCCTTGAAAGCAATGATGTCTCTGAGGGGAGCCGCCCACATCTTCCTCGATAGACTCCTTAGCCGACAATCTTTTTGAGGTCTGACATACTTCATTTGCTGCCTCCTCCATTGAAACTGGTACCCTTTCACCTACCCCAATTTGCTCCGGAGACGACAGAGCTACCTTCGTCGCGGAGTTCTTCGGTGTTTGTAGAGGTCCGGTGAAGGCGTCGCATTCTCATCTATAATTTCATCAACTTGTATTCCTCCCCAGTTATCATTCAATTTATCAAAATCATCGGTTGAGGCATCCGACCATCCTTCATCATTCAATTCATCTTCCCCGGGTAGTTTGTAGTCTGATTTAAGTGAGAAGATATTGTCCACCCCCAGCTCCTCACAAATCTTAATATGAAATATTAAGTTGCTCGCTTTGACACGTACTTTCTTATTAATATTCTCTTGAACAGATGTTAAGATTAATATCTTTGCCACATCATATCTGGACTTTTTGATTGTGCTACTATCAAGAGAAACAAATCTTCTAAATAAGCATGCAATAGTCTCAAAGAAACTACTTTTCCAGATATGTAATCGCACTCCTTGACACCTAAGCCAAGTGAATCTCTCAGTTGCCACCTCATGCGGAGACCACGGTCGGATATCTGTAAACCATTGATCTAGCCAGTTTCGCCCTTCCTCCACCAAGTGCTTTAATTTCTCATAAACCTCACATGGTAGTAGAACGAGATTCCCACCCATGGGAGTCACTTTTGCAGAGAAATACCCCTCCATCATGAATCTCTCTTGCAATGTGCTAATAATTTCTGTGCATCTAGCTTTACCAACAAAGCTCCTTTCAAGCCAGGCCATATCATCCTTTTCGACTGGAACCTTAAGTCCATACCAATCTTCTTGCTCAAACTCATTTCGCTTCCTTGGTTGCCACATCTTTTGAGGCATTGAGGATTTTCTAGCATTCCTTTTTGGGCGAAGATCTACATCACCTTTCAAGACTTCTGCATAAGACCTTGAGTTTCCACCTTTCAAAACTTTTGCATAAGACCTTGAGTTCCCTCCATCATCGATCCTGCAAGATACATTCTTATTCCTCACCTCCAATTTGCTTCCCTCTCTGGGAAAGAATGCAACATTTGCTTCTAATGTTTGTGAATTAAATCTGATCTGGTTGAGTTTAGACTCTAGTGCTGTTGAGTTGATGACATTTAGAACTCTAGTGCTGTAACTCCAAATAAAGAAAAAACTTCTAAACTAGAAAGGAATTCTAAACTATTAAATAGTCTAAATATAAAAGTTATGCTGCTCCAACTGGGCTTGACCCCTTGTCCACATCAGTCTCCCCTTCTTGGAACAAAACTCGACCTCGAGTTGTCATCAACGTCCATAGGATAAAATGATTCACTTAAATCAAAGTAGGGGAAACTATCAACAACATTAAAAGTTCGAGAAATACCAATTGATGCTGGTAAGTCTACCACATAAGCATTGCTGTTAATTTTCTTGAGGATCTTATAAGGACCATACTTGCGTGGCAGCAACTTATTGTAGGTACTTGCTGGATAGCATTCCTACCTCAAAAAGACCAGTACCATATCCCCTACTACAAATGCCTTGTCCTTTTGATGCACATCTGCTGCCTGCTTATACCTATTATTTGTCGCCTCAAGCTTGGCTTTGACCTCAGCTTGAACTTCTTGGATTTACTTAGCCAAGTTTGCTGCTGCAGTGCTAATGCCCCTCACTCCTGGCAACTTCACTAACTCTACATCATGATTAGGCACTTTCTGGTATACTATGGAAAATGGAGATCTACCTAAAGCACTATGCACTGCACTGTTATAAGCAAATTCTGCTTGAGCTAGAGCAAAGTCCCACTGTCTTGGTCGATCCCCACAGATGCCACGAATCATGTTCCCAAGTGTACGGTTCATTGATTCTGTCTGTTCGTTAGTTTGAGGGTGTGCCGTGCTACTAAAATTTAAAGAGGCATCAAACATCTTCCATTAAGTCATCCAAAAGTCGCTAAGAAAATGAGTATCACAGTCAAATACTATTGATTTTGGCACCCCATGCAGACGCACTACCTCTCAAAAAAAGAGTCTAGCAATATTTGTGGCATCCGCCGTCTTCCTACAAGGAATAAAATGCGCCATTTTGGAAAACTTGTCAACCATAACAAAACAAGAATCCATGCCCCTTTGAGTCCTAGGCAAACCAAGGATAAGGTCCATTGATAAGTCATCCCATGAATTTTTTGGAACTGGTAGTGGCATGTAAAGTCCCACATTTTGAGATCGACCCTTGGATGTTTGACACACATAACACCTTTTGACAAAATGTTCTACATCCCTTCGTAATTTCTGCCAAAAATAACGATCTTTAACAGCATCTAGAGTCTTACTTCTTCCCAAGTGAGTTGCTAAACCTCCCCCGTGCAAGTCTCTAATCAACTTCTCTCTTAATGAAGACCGAGGAATACAAAGTTGGTTGTCTTTCATGAGGAAGCCTTCATACAGATAATATTCATCTACAGGGGTTTGGTTTTGTAAACTAAACCAAACTTCTTGAAAATCTGGGTCATCTTTGTATAATTCTTATAATTGTTCAAATCCCACTAGCTTACTTCACAAGATTGCAAGTACCATTGACCTTTGACTCAAAGCATCTGCCACTCGATTTTGAGAACCAGATTTATGAATAAGCTTGAAAGGGAATTTTTGCAAGAAAGAGGACCAGCGGGCATGTAAGTCACTGCTAAGTCTTTTCTGGCTATTCAAGTATCTCAATGCTTGGTGGTCGGAGTATAGAACAAACTCCTTGCCAATTAGATAATTTTCCCAAATCTTTAAGGCTCTCACCATTGCATAAAACTCCTTATTATATGTTGTCCATTGCTGCCCAGAGTCATTGAGTTTCGCACTAAAATAAGCTACAGGCCTTTTCTCTTGGGAAAGTATTGCCCCAATGGCCACTCCACAAGCATCACACTCCACTTCAAATAGCTTTCCAAAGTTTAGTAAAGCCAAGACTGGTGCTGTGTAGAGCTTTTTTTTAGGCAACACAAAGCTTGTTTCTTCTTTGTCTCCCCACCTAAACTTCCCTTTCTTCATACACTCAGTAATAGGAGCTGCAATGGCACTAAAATTTTTGATGAATCGACAATAAAAAGTAGCAAGTCCATGAAAGCTCCGTAGTTCACTTACTAATGTTGGTGTGGGCCAATCTTCGATTGCTCGAATTTTGTCTTCATCAACTTAAATTCCTTGGGCACTAATGACATATCCTAGAAACAACAACTTCTCCACCATAAAATTGCACTTTTTAAAATTCAAAAATAGTTTATTATCTTACAGTACTCTTAGTACCTCAAATAAATGACCCATGTGTTCTTCTCTTGTCTTACTATAAATTAAAATATCATCAAAATAAACCACAACAAAACGACCAATAAAAGCCTTAAGTACCTGGTTCATAAGCCTCATGAAGGTACTTGGAGCGTTGCTTAAGCCAAACGGCATCACTAGCCACTCATGCAACCCATCTCGAGTCCTAACAACTATCTTCCACTCATCTTTTGGTCTAATACGAATTTGGTGGTAGCCACTTTGAAGGTCAAGCTTGGTGAACACCTTAGCCCAGTACAGCTGGTCCAACATATCGTCAAGCCGCGGTATGGGAAACTTGTACCTGATTGTAATTTTATTAATAGCCCTGCTATTAACACACATTCGCCAACTTCCATCTTTCTTTGATGTGAGCAGCGCAGGTACAGCACAAGGGCTTATACTCTCTCTAATCATACCTTTCTCTAGTAGCTCTTCAACCTTCTCTTGCAAAATATCATTCTCTTTTGGACTCATTCGGTAATGGGGTAAATTTGGCAAACTAGCTCCTGGCATGAGGTCTATATGATGCTGTATATCCCTCATTGGTGTCAACCCAACAGGTAATTCATTTGAAATTAAATCTGGAAACTCGCTTAGGATGGCTTTTACCTCCTTAGGAAGCTCTCCTTTCCCAGCTTGGTTTGGTAACTCTTTCACCAGCAAAACATGAACCTTCTTGGCCTCTTTGCACTCCTCCAGATATTGTTTCCCTGAATTAACCACTGTCAAGAATGTTTTGTCTACATTTGGTGGTGTAGATTTTGCTTTTGGTTTCCTTGACAAAGGCAACAAAGTGTAATGTACCCCTTTCTTGACTAAACGATAAACATTGTCCCTTCCGAAGTGCTAAGCATCAGTGTCAAATTTTTAGGGTCTTCCAAACAAAATCTGGCATGCATCCATATCAACCACATCGCAGTAGACCTCATCTTGATACTTGCCGATGGAAAATGGAACTTACACTACTCTATCACCTCTATTTCATCTCCAGACTTGATCCATCCAATTGTGTAGGGACTTGGGTGCTTCTCGACTTCTAGCTGCAACTTTTCAATGGCTTCCTTTCTAATTATATTCTCTTGACTCCCGCTATCTATAATTAAATCAAATGTTTTTGCTTGGACCTCACATCTTGTTCAAAATAGTTGACACCGTTGGGTGTTCTCCTCTACCTTTGGTGACAACATGGTCTTCCTCACTACATAAGTTTGCTCGTGTTCATCTTCCTCATAGTCTCCATCATCATTTGGATCATAGAGAACTTCATTAACATCCTTTCCTTGCTCAATCAAAGCCACCTTTTTGCGAAGAGGACAATCACTCGATCTATGTCCCGGTGGATTACACTTGTAACACTTTCCACTGATTGGTTGTGCATATGGGTTGGAATTTGATACCTTATAAGCTTCAGCCTCTTCTGTTGCTTTCTTGCTTGTGTTCTTCACTGTTGGCTTGTCTATTGCCAGCTTACTTTGTGTAGGGTGGGTGAGGTCATCTTCAAACTTTAAGCTAGAAGCGCTATAACCTTTTTGATAAAATTCAACCCCTTTTCCCTGATGCTCCTTTGTCATTACCTTAGCTTTGTGGGCTAAGTTTTGAGCTTCAGACACACTTCGTATAACCTGGACACCAATTTTCTCTTTCAATACTGGTCACAACCCTTCAAGGTATCTAGAGACTTGCTGTCCTTCAGGTTCATGTAGATCATTCCAAGCAGCCAAACGCAGGAACTCGGCTGTATATTCATGTACTGTTCGATGTCCTTGTACACACTTTGATATTGAGAGAATAAATATTGTTTATAATTAGGAGGCAAGAACCTGGCTCGAAGCTTTTGCCTCATACGCGGTCAAAGACAAATGGGAGTTTTGCCTTCTCTTCTTCGGTTCTCTTGTACCTTATCCCACCATAGGGCAACACCTCCCTTTAATCGATATGCTACCAACTTCACTTTCTTTTCTTTTGGAGTGTCCATGTAATCAAAAAACCGATCTACTTCTGACAACCAGTCTAAAAATCCCTCAATATCAAGAGAACCATCAAAAGTAGGAAGGTCGACTTTTAGACGAAAGCCTTCTGGTTCATAGTAATTCTCTCCATGTCCTCCTCCTAGCCACCTTCGAACCCTCCGACATAACCTCATCCACGTCCCTTGATGTTCCTTGGGCTCCCACGGTTCACCACCTGTTGGGCTACATCAACATCATCATCACTCGAATCGTCATAAGCATGTAACCTCCAATTAATAGGATGGTGTTGATCAACAAGGCGCTATCAAGCAACATCTCGATCAGCATCCCTTGCTACCTCCGGCCTCCGATTGAGATTCACTGCAAGAGTGCGCAAACTTGCGCGGACCTCGTCGAGACTCCTTTCTATCTCCGCGAGTCGCCCTTCAAATCTTCAACAAGTATATAAAAATTTTCTAAAAGTAAAAAATCAAAAGTTTTAAATTCAAGTTTTTCATAAATTTTCTTTTTTATTCACTTTTTATTGACTTTTTCTTATATCTAAAAATAATTTTTAAATTTTTTCTTAAATAAAAATTTAAACTTATTACTCATGAACAATATAAAAAAAAAAAGAAGTAAAAACTTCAACAAGTTACACCAAGCAGGTCTAAATGCATTGGTTGCTTTTAACCACATTCACCCCAAGCATTGCCGTGTCGACTTAATGATTGGTTTGAGGTTGCACCTTTTTCCTTGTAGGTATTCCGACTTTAATATTTTATTTCCCTATTGTCCTCTCACATTTGTATATTAAAAGTGATCAATTTCTAATACTAAATTCTGTAGTCAAGATTAGAGGATTTGCAAGTTCTAGTTAGCATATCACTGTCAATGTGGTTTTTGGTTACCGGCGGGTAGTACCAAAAACAAAATCACTGCCACCGGTGGTATGCCCCAGCAATGGCTTGTGTACAAATATAAATGTCCGGGATCCTATGTCACTTGTGGTCCAGACGCCGACCACACGATAATGACTTTTCAACAGCCTCTTCGGAGGCCAAAGAATAAAAAATAACACAAGCTCACTACATTGAGCTGGCTCTCTTACCTTCTTTTTTTTCAGCAAAAAGGGCATAAATTTTGAAGTAGTCTGCACTCTGCACTCTGCACTCTCCTGTAATGCAATGTTTTCAAAACCGGACCGGTTATTGAACCGTTTTCAGGTTCGGTTCCCGGTTTGACCGGTTCAACCGGTTGAACCGGTGAACCGGCCGGTCCAAACAATAAAGAAGGTTTGATGAGAGGAGCGAGCTATAGGCATTGATTTTTTTATTTGGTGTTGATAATTTTGTAATTTTGTTAAAGTTAAAGGTTAAAATGGGTATAAGAAAGGAATGGGAAGGG